ATTTTTTTGCACAATTACTCTTATTGAATTTCAAAGCGCGCGCATACATTACGTAGGAGATATACAGTTTTAAGCTAGCGTAAGATATTACGCTTCTTGAAAAGCGTGTCTCAGGAAATTAACACTCGCACAAAGCAAGAGAGGGATATTCAGATATAATAGACTTTGTCAAAAGTCGCGTACATTCTCTCGACTACGTATAATTCTTTAGTGAATTCGTGACCGAGTTTGCCTCGGCAAAAATTTAATTGCTTTCCACTCTTTGTCGCTTTTTTCTAAATTTTAGCATTAAACGCAATGATGACGAAATTCTCAATTAAAACTCCGTTAATAGTTCACTTAAAGTTCCCTCAGAAAGTTTATATTATTACGTTTTTATATTCTTTTCTAATTTTTAGTTAGTTGATATTCTTCTTATTGTTAGTTTGGAATTTAGCTTATTTAAATAATCGAAATACTTCACAATTCTCTAATATAAAAGTAATTATTTATATACATATATATCTAGCTTTTGTTAAACTAAAATTAAAGAATATCTGAAAATTTTTCATGAAATTTTTATCAATTCTATATTATTTAAAACTTTTATTGTGTGTGATATTGTTATTAAAAAATTTTATTTACGATATATCTTTGTACAGATTCTGGAATGGATGTAAAAAACGATCTCGTATTGTACTTGTTTAATGAATCATTTACTATACTTTAGAACTGACGTTTTTCACGAAAAAATGAATATTCTATTTACTAAAACATTTATTGTATATCTGCTCACAAAGTGCAGTAAAACTTGAAAGTGCACACGGCGTATGGAATATCTCGAAATTAGCATTAATTTTTTAAAATTATAAATTTTTCAACTATTTGTTGAATAACCATAAGAAGATGCCTGCTACTTGCATTAACAAAATATTATTTTTTATTTAATTTGAAAAATATTTTAGCAAAATTTAATTCGAACTACACCTATTAAAAATTTCTTAATTAAAAATTGCATGTATTATAAATATATTATGTTGAAAAATTATTGACCAACGAAATTTCTATTAGAGTAAAATCGATTATATCAGGGAGCACTTCATGAAAACAATAACGATCCAACTTTGGTACACTCCGTATGTCGTATGGATCTAAAAGGGATTAAATTTGTTCGAAATCTGAGACGAGAATCATGTGCAAACACGTATGAAATTTCTAGATATCTCGAAGGTGCCTGACATTACCTTCCCGAGGAGGGGATTAACGTGCTGCGCTTTTGACACGAACTGCAGAATAAACGAGCCACAAGCGCAACGAGAGATATTCCATGCTCGGTGGACTGTAGTTTAAAAATGGAATTCAACTAGAAGCCGCTCTCCCCGCAAGCTGCTACCTAATTATTAATTACGCCTGGCATCGTATATCAGTCCTTTATGACAAGTTAACGCGAAACTTCGAGTCGCATCCGGCGCGTAATTAAACCGGGCTCAATAAAATTACACCGCCTTGTCTTGGTGTAAACGCGTCATCACCTCGTTGAAATCCCGCATGCTTTCGTCGTCTTCGTAACGTAATATTGCTATTATTTCCAACTATCCGTATAACTTTCTTCACCTTACAACGCGCGGCCAATTATTTTCCAAAATGTCTTCTTGCTCGGACGGCATCTTGTACGAAGGAGCTTTTCAACACGGAGTGTCCCAGAAAACTGTCAATCTTAATTTTAATAACTAACTCCTTCAATTGCGATTTTATTTGTGGAACAGGTTTCACGACAATTTATTATTTATCAATCTGTTGACATTTATTGTTACGTGTAATTAAAACTCCGGAAAAGTAAAACTTATGCGAAACGAAGTGAAGAAAATATGATTTTGTTATTTAGCGCTTTATATTTTATATATATTTCATTTTCGTATATTTGATACGCGAAGAATATTGTCTTTTTTAATTATTTATAATCTAAAACCTATTGATGTCTCAGTTAAGAAAGTCTGTATAGTTTAATGAAAAGATCTCTAAGCATAAAATTGAAGTTGTATGAAATGTGTCCCAAAAGACACACCTTCGACCTCTGCCTATATCATGAGAAAGAGCTACTCGGGCTTCCCCGGAGTGATATGAACAATGACTTCAAAGAAGTCTCCTTTCGAAGCAATGACTTTCTTCCAGCGGTCCATCCACTTCCGGAAGCAATCCTGGAAGTCGTTTTTTCGTGAACGCCAACAGCTCCCTCGTCGCATTTCGTTTTATTTCCTCAACGTCGTCAAATCTTTTGCCCTTCAACTTAGGAAATAACCAGAAGTCACACGGGACTATATTTAAACGTACGGCGGTTGGCGAAGTTGCACAATGCCGTGTTTAGTCAAAAAAATCTCTAAATTAACGTATACTAGATAAGACTCTTCAATTTAAAACAATAATCAGCAAATAATAAGTCAAGCACTAAAAATCTAACACGCAAAACTTGGTGTGTAAAACAATTTTTATCTTCAAATATGTAGTTACATATCCATACAAAATTTTCCCTTCCGTACGTTTCGACCTCCTTCAGCGATAATACAATAATACTCCATATCAATAATATTTATTCCGCTAATCAACGTCAAAAAAGCTTACATCAGATGAGATGAGCGACTCGCTCGACACTCACACAATTGCGTACCGTTGCCGACCGACTGAATAGCCGTTGGGTCGTACCGCTTAGTGAGAGTATTCTTCTCAGGGTCCACCGTAAATACTGAATGCCTGTTTTCCACAATAGCATGCCCAAGAACAAAGATATACGCAGAGTCGGATTCTTTTGGAACACACCTCGTATATCAATACATAATTCCTCTATGAAAGGATTATTTAATATCTGGAGAATTAAAATTCATGCAAAATTAGTGGGGAAAAAATGCGATTTTATTATTCAGTTATATATTTTCGATTTTTTTTATATGCAAAAAGTATTTTCTATTTTTAATCGATTATAATCTATAAACTGATCTCGACGTCGATTATAATTTATAAATTGATGATTTCGATATCTCAGATGAAGCAGAATTGTCTGCATACAGTTCGATGAAAAAATCTCAAAATTAAGATTGGAAATGAGAAGCAATGTATAAGTTTTACTAAAAGATTTGTTGTACATATATAATTTGAGACGCTGTAATGTTTCTTGGATCGAAACCGAGAATTTTCTCAATTTACGGTTTACGTGAAATGGCTGTGGCTGGATTATATTCGTCCACACGTCACACGTCAACGTCAGTCCGGTCTCGTAATTAATCGAACCTAGCCATTGAGGTTTAATGCACGTGCGCGAGTGAGGGGCCGGCGATATGATTAAACGAATTGGCAATCGAGAGATCATTCAACAGTTCCCGCCGTCAGGAGGCGCGGTCGAACGGGAATGACAGTAGAGAGCGTTGATTAACGAACTGATTGCAGCTAACGTAATTAATTATTACCCACGCTAGTCCGCGCGCATCGCTAGAAATTCCGCGAATAGCTCTAATCAAATGTGCGGCGCACGTAGTCGCTAATTTTTTAAAAATTTATTCGGCGAACCCAATTTGAAATTCGTATCATTCCACGGAGGATTTAATTTTAATTGCTTGGATAGTTATAAGCGCATGATGGATAGATAAACAGACAAATATCTACATAGACTTTGTTGACGCTCACCCTTGCAACCCTTATTAAACTCACCAGGAGAGGCTCAAGTCTGTAACTTGCGAATTGGCTGAAATTTCAGGATGTGTGGAGTCAATAGTAGATATATAGATATCCATCTACATATAGATTACGTCGATACTCACTCAAGAAAGCAGGAAATAAAACCTTAAACAGAATGAGAGATAAAATTATATTATTTAAACTTAATTTTTATGATAGAATTATTTTAAGAGACAAAATAAATTTTCTAAATTTAATTAAACTGATCAGACTAATTGACTAAAATTAAATTTAACACTTCTTTCTTCTTCTTTTTATTTAGAAAGTATTAGATATTCATTGTATATACCGCAGTCATTATATTATTGTTAAATTGATAATAATGATGAAAGTTATTTGTTAAAAAAATTTTAATAAGCAATCAAAAAATGGATTTGTTTTGTTATTGTGTATATTGTTGGTTGAAATATTACCAACATTCGAATCAAAGAAATACAAAGCACTTCGTAAACAACTGAAATAATGATTTGACGTAAACATACATGCTTTCATTTATATGAATGTCTACCGAAAAAATTATTAAACTATTAATTTTATGAGGATGATTCTTTAACAGCTTTTTAGCATGATTAAAAAAGCAAATTTTATTTGACGCGTGTGTAAAAAGCATATTTCAACCATATTGGTATTTATAAACTTGTTTAAGGTAAAAAGAAATTTCCTTAAATTACGTTTTTATGCGAGTATTTGAGTCCTGCGTACGAACATATTTGCAAAAATGTAACAAAATGTTTATAATAATTATTTCAAATGTCATGATATTTCTATTTAAACATTTTATCGGAGAATTTAATTAATTCGCTGAACAATAAAATATCAAAAATGTTAACCATTTGAGGCAAATAATAATCCAATTGGCCGCGAAAAAGCGAGGCTTGTATTTTGGTTAATTATCGGAATTACAATGCCGAATACAATTATCGTTACGTTATGATGGAAAATTTATGAGATGGAAAAGCGTAATGAAACATGATGTTACCGAAGTGCAATTGCGAGTTACATAAAATATAATATCGACTATTTTATCAGATATCTTTCCTTACTTAACCGCTCGCATTTTACGTAGCAATCAATGCTCATAAAAATTGCTCGTTCTTGCGCTACATTTATGTGTGTCTTTACAGATTTAGGTGACACACATACACACACAGAACGTGTATATTATTTATGATATAACATATATTGTATAATAATGTGGTGTTACAATACTACATTATACTATAATATACAATAATAGGTATTGTATAGGTATTTGCAGATCTATACCTGTGACGTACGTATGTTCCATGTTACAGGGACTCGCTAACGCGAACAGATACGATGACAAGCATCTGATGAGCAACGAAGTCACGGACAAGACCCAGCCACCGTTGAAGGCGATGTACAACATGCAGTCACCATCCAGAAATACGGATTGTCCGTCGTCGTCCAAACCCGCGATGGCCAACCGCCTCCTAGATTGGTTCTCCGTCGTGATGGCGGACTCCAAGCATCGCCGTCAGCATCCTAAGCCTAAAGGTAGAAAAACATATACAAGTTTCAATACGGCTGTTTGCGAAACAAATACAAGCGACGTACCGGAACGTTCTAATAAATTAAAATATAATAGATTTATTGATGAATCTCCATCGGTCTCTTTTATCAAAAAATCCCTTTTTTCATCTGCTACTGAGATTCTCGAGATTTCCGTTAAGCATATTTAACAATCTTGCTACGCGTTTGTTAAATGTATTTTGCGTTTCACGATGCACACCCCGTCGACCTGCGAAAGTCGCATTAAACAGCCGTCTGGCGACGCGCACAACCACGGAATGCGCTTCAAGCGCATTGAAACGTTCCCCCACGGGAGTACTGAAGGGATTCTACAAGGGATACAAGGGAGACTAATTGTCCCCGTAGAGAAGTGGACGGACACCGCGACGTACGCGGGACGCTACGTCGTGGTAGTTCCCGAAGTACCGACATGGCGCACACGCCATTCGACTTGGAGACAATCAGTTTCGTACCCAGTTCGAAATTGTCCCAGTACAATGAATCGTTTCCCGCCCCGAGTACGTCGCGATTACTTTGGGCGGTACTATCTGTCGATATTGTCCTCCCGGTTCCCATGTTGATCTTACGGTATTACGTCGCTCGGGGCAAAACAAAGTGTACTATGCGCGCAGCTATGCAGCCGGCGATCCCGTCTGAATCGAGAGAGGATGATTTAACTAACCATCCTCGGACCACAAACGGGAGAGTAGATTGTAACGATCCAACGGGTCCAACTCGATTGACCATTTTTACGTTCTGAGTTATAATCTTTGCGTTATATAAAAAAGAGACGATAATATTACGTAAAATTGACAAATATCTCTTTTAATTGTGACGATAATATTACGTAAAATTGACAAATATCTCTTTTGATTGCGCTAAGCTAAACAATCCTCCTGTAAAATTACTCAACAAGATAGATGAAATTTTTAATTGAGGTTTTTATTACATTAATATCAAATTTAATTTTTAACATAAATTTTAGATAAATTTGCATCTGTATAATAAAATAGAATATTTATACAAGAGCGCCTTACAATCTAAAAATATGTTATCATATATTATGATTTATATTTTATAATGCAAGACATCTTTGTTCTTCACGTGAATATTAGCCAATCGTTAATTTGTCCGCATGTACTCAATCCTTTTTTAATCAAATCCCGATCTATAAGTAATTCGTACCGGAATTCAAAATGGAATTCTATTGATATACCGTGTAACACAAAATACATCGGAAAATCGGAATATACATACCTAATTGGAGCACACATAAAATATATATTAAAGCACATATATGTTTTATATATATTAAAATACAATGTTTTGTATGAATTTTGTATAAATACAAAATTAAAAATAAAATTCTATTCTAATTTGATGCAAATTATGAATTTAAAATAGTCTTTAAATATATTTATACGTCTATATGTGAAAATCTATGATGTGTATATGAATGTATATCGACGATTTCAGGTCACTTCCCAATCGGTTGTCAGAGCGAGGTCAGGTGGATGTTCGGGCATTTGGACAGCGACAGCGACGGCCGACTCTCACTCTCCGAGCTGTACGGTCTGGAACACGACCAGAATGAACCATGCTTGAAGCCCTTCCTGGATAGTTGCGATACCGACAGGTAAGAGTCATCTGCGAATTCCTGTTCCGCACACGGAGGAAAGACGTTTCGCGACCATAAGCGCACGTACGATCGCATCTAAGGCTCACATTTGGCGTTCCTACTGTGGTTCCTATCTCGACAATGGACGAGCAGCGGGTGAGATAAGATCGATCGATTTAGATCAAATTCAGAGATACTACGGTACACATTGCGGGCTGTGTTCTTTCAAATTCTTTAAAATTACGAATGGAGGATGTAAGAGTTGTATCTGTAATTTAGAGGAAATAGAAAATATTTATAAACCATTTGTTATATCCAAGATTGATATACTTTTAGAATATTTTTAGAAACATGACAAGACACATGGAAATAACGATTCAAATATAATATGTGAATCCGTTAACTGCACAGAGATACATCGCATTGTCAGATACAGCTTGGTCTGATCAAACGCGCGATGTTACTACTGCGTCTGAGAATATGCGTTTACTGACTACTGAAATATATATACGATCCTTTTTAGCTTTGTATCAGAAATTCCTTTTACTTTATTATTGCGTAATATTTTATATCATCTACATATTATATATATTTCATTATTCTACACATTTTAATAATGTCAATATATATGTTATATATTATTTTAAAAATTTCATATCACAAAAATTTTATACGTATTATCTTTGTTCTATAATTGCTTCAATGTAATATATTATTATTATTACATTGAATATGTTATTTAATGCAATAATGATCTAAATACTACGAAATTGTGTCAGGCTAAAATTTTTTAAGATTGAAGGAAAAATAAGAGACATACGTAAGGGTTACATTTTCGATGTTGTATTTTCAGCGACATTTTCGTGAGCGGACCTGAATGGTGCGGATGCTTCTCTAAGGCCGAACGTCCGTGTGCCGCTGTGCGCAGACGATCATCGCCGGATTCCGCACCTGTTTGTGATTCGCGAGGATATTATCGCAGTACCCAGTGCCACCGCGGCCTCGGTCTCTGCTGGTGCGTCGATCCGCACGGCGTCGAGTTCGCTGGTACCAGAACGCGCGGCGCGAAGCCTGACTGCGGTATGTATGCCAGCGCTTGAACAACAAATATTTAAAGCGCCGGAATTAGTAAAATAATAAATAATTTCGGCATGTCAGCGCGTGTAACAAGAAAATTAATAAAAACCTTTAATTTGAAATAACATGAATTTAATTATTTGGAATCACGTATGGATTTAATACTTTGTCGAAGGTCGAAATAAAAATAAAAGGACATCTTTTATTTAAAAATCAATATAGATTCTTGTATCAAGATCTAGATTGGATCTGACCTTCTGCAATTTTCTCCAATATTGAATATCTTGATAAAACGCTGTTAAATTTAAAGCTTTTGAAATAAGTCTTATCCTAAAGAGAGAGAGATAAAGATTTTGTCATTTTTAAATTGTAATTCGCTAAGATCAATCGCAGTTTACAAATTATTCATTTTTATTTATATCTTTACCAAGCAACAATTATTTTAATTTTCGATAAGTAATATCATCGTGTTAGCTAAATACTATTTTTCATGCTATTTCTTGGTAATAGAATTATGAGAATATTTGGCAATTTTAAACTGTGTGAAAATAATCATATTCTTTTCGCGAAGTATACACTTCTTGAATTGTTCTATAAACTTACAGACACGATTGTGAACAAGATCAGCAGCGGTGGGCTCAAAACCAACAGTGTGGACCTTGACGACGATGAGGACGGCGGTACCGACTCCGCTCAGGATCTTGAGGGCTCAGCCGATCAACCTCTAGATTTCTAGACGTTTGCTAGGAACGGCGGCCAGCAACGGAAGCGCAGCATCTTTTAATCGAGCATCTTTAAGAGCGGAAGAACCGACCGACCGCGCGGTCGGAGGAGAGCGTGGGAAGGTGCGCGCGCGTCCGCCGGCTTCGGGAATACCGCCGAGTCGCGTGATCAGAGGTGTTCCAATGTCATCGTCGGGCCGCCTGTCGATCCTGTCGAGGTCGCGATCCATGCGCGACGAAACGAAACGTGAGCCTAAATGAGTTCCGAGAGCAACGAAAAATAAGCACGACGATCACTGTAGTTATGGGAAAAAAAAGGTCCGTAGCGAATCGCGCTGCGTGGAACCGGCAGAGATCGTTGTCGAATCATCGTAACGACCTTAGTCGCGTCCTTCGTCCCAAGTTAGGAAGTTCCGATCGACATTTAAAGTAGCGAGTGTCTTGCCATGTCGTGCAATAATCGCGTAATGTCCAGCGGTATGCGGCGCCTACAGCCGAGTCTACGCGCAATCGTAGATCCCGTGCAATCATAATACCGTGCAATATCCAATAGAGTCCGTGTAGAGAGTATGCAGATATGGCCGAAAGTGTATGTACGTGTGTGAGGATTGCTGGTGACGGGGAGAGGGGAGAGGGGGGAGAGAGAGAAAGGGAGAAAATTCCGCTGCGAGCCGCGCAGAACACACCGACACCGTTGGATTACCTCCGTGCCTGTCGAGGTATCTCCACGCACAATTAAAAATATAAATAATATAATTACGTATCATTTATGCATACACAAAAGAAAACAGAAAAAGAAAGATATTCGTGAAATAAGGGAGAAGGACTGGAATAGAACGAGGTAATTTCGTCATATTGATCACGTACGCGTCGTGACACAAATTGCATTTAATGGAAAATCATAAAGAAAAACCCCATAAGCGTATGAGGTGTGTCTAAAAAAGTAATGAGACTGAACGTGGCGTAAAAGATTTGGCAATACTATATTTATGTTATCGACGCCAGATGAGCACATTCCTAAACTATTGTTTAATACAACTTACAAGTTCCAAGCCGATAACGTCAATACGTCTGATTAAATAGCGAGTTTTGTAAGTGTAAGCGTCACGTTACGAAAATATAGAAAAAGCGCAATTTTGAGTAAGGGCTTTCATCAGATCTGATAGACGTTTGACAATCAGAATAATTTCATCAAATTGAATCATCAATCCGTTCACAACATTTTAACTGAATAATTCAAATTCGGCTCATTTGAGTGATCTGAACTTGATGACAATGATTGAACGCAATAATTTTTACGTCGGGATTTCTACGTATCACTTCAATAGATTTGGAAATCTTTTTCCAGAATTAAAATATACGCGTTAATACATGTCGGTCGCTCGGAATTTATGCCGAGAACGAAAGAATTTATACTCTTAAGGCTTTCACGGGTATTCTCTTTAAAAGTACTGTAAGAGATTTACAGGTTTTCTCTGTGTCTTGATCCATTGTTAATGCCAACGTTTCGTCAACAATGCTGTTCGCTTCATCAGGACGAGAAGCAAACTTTGATACTGAGCTGCTCCTCTGAAAAATTCCTAATATAAACATATATTTATTCCCCTTCCTCCTTCTACTGAAAAACGTATATATATATGTGCGATATTGATGTAGTAAATATAAACACATCACTACACATTGCTACGTCAATATCACACGCATACATATGCATAAATTATCGATTAAAAAAAACAGCGACGTTTTCATCTCTACTATATCATCCCCTTAAGAATTCCAGCACTACCAGGAAACAATGTCCTCGGCAGTGTGTGGCTTCTCAAAGGGACTACTTTGAAGGAGGTAATATTAATTTGTAGTTTGACTGTTAGTAAAAATATTTATAACATAAATCTCGTTATTTTTTAGACACGCCTCGTATGATTTTCTAATAATTCTAATCGCTAGATTAACGATGTAACGTTGAGACATAATGTTAATTACGAATTACGTGGTAATAATGCAGCAACCGAAATCAAATTGGTTGAGGGGGAAAAAAAAAAGACAGCGAGAGCAGGGAAGAAAGGGATGTGAAGTCATTCTGCTACTGTCACACCTGCACACGTTGGAACTTAGTTGAATCACTTGACGAAGTAAATAGGTTTTCGTAGCTCTTGCCACTTCACTTTCGGCTGTGTTTCGCCGAACGCGGTATAGAAAAATCTCGCCGTTATTCCGCTTATTTATTACATTCTCTCGGGCAAGCTCGGAATGTTCTTTAAGTTATTCTTCTTTCCCTCACAGACTTTCCATCTTGCGTTAAAAAAAAAAAGAAATTAGTGTAAGACATGCGGAATAAAGAACGACCTATTTCGTAACGCGCTAATGATCTATTTCATATTACGCAGTTCAATCACGATCACAGGACGTCGAGCTGGTTGTTAAGAGGTCGCGAGATCGCTTATAAAAATATAAACGTGGAGTATTATTATCTATTACACATTGCGCGACTCGATTCGCGCGGAGCATTACGATTCTTTACGCCCGCAATCCGGAACGACATCCATCGTGCAATGCTTGAGAGCCGTTTTCTACGAAGCTAGAAAATGTTCCGACATCGTGATTCGTCTGCATTTACTGTAATTATAAGCATTTTTACTTACAACTTTTACTTAAAAAGAGTGTGTGGTACACCGTAGATATTAGAGTAACATGTAATCCGTAGAAAAAAAAAGAAAAAAAAAGATCAGTGTGACTATGTGAATATGCCCCTAGCGTTAGAAGGCAATTTACGTAGAAATAGCCGATGCAAAAACTTACACTGTGTCTCATTTAGAATGAAGGTGACAATTCATTTTGCAAGCCTAACGCGTTTCACACTTCGACATTCATTCCTTCTACGAGGTATTCAGGGAAAACAATACTCGTCGCGTATATATATATTGATCAGAGACAACACAAATTGTATGTACTGAGATTTTTAAACACAACTAACGGAATGTACATTTTCTTATCTTCTTTTGTTTCTATCAATGCGTTTTATTTCGGCGATTCGTAATTACACGGCAATCCTTTCATCAACTCTATCGAATTTTGTGACAAATTATGCACTTTTATATTTTTACCTTTCTCTTTTTTTACTCAAAAGGATAACTCAATATCATTTTGTCAGTTCATCCATAATGTCTTGCCTTAATGGACATGGCGTGTTAAACTTGCGCATTGAAGTATGTAGATGACACTTAAAAAAAATATATCTACATATTTAAACTGATAAACGACATCGTCCGCAATGAGCTAACGCATAATTCCTTCCTGCATCGAGCGCAATTTGCATTCCGCCTGACTTATTGTACTGTCGACCTAGACTAATTAATATAACTACAAGCGAACGTAAAATAGTTTTATCGAGTCTTGCATATTGTATATATATGATTATATACAATGAAAATCATCGTCAGTGATCTTCGTACCATGATGATTTTTGTAAGGTATGCACTTGATCAAAGCGTAAAGAATTTTTACTTCATTCAAGAGCTACCGTAAATATCTCACTTAATCGGTATTGTACATGTGGCTGTAAGAATTCTTTATGAATAAAGATTGTTGTAGAAAAATCGGGAAGATGTTCTTTTGAGAGAGCATGGTATAGTATAGCAAATATATTATTTATTTTTCGTCTTTCGTTTCTAGAGATTCGATATACAAATTTATAACAAACTGAAGTGAAGGCATCGAGAGGATATGTATGTATCACAGATTTCTACACCTAGATCGCCAACGTGCTGTAGTTCGTTACCAGTTGAGTTTTTGACTATATAAGTTTCGTTTTAAGAAACAGTAGAGAAAAAAAATTGTAAGAAATCTAATTCTTGGTATAATAAAGACTCTCTATTGTGTTTTTGATACTTGCATATGTTTATCATAGCAGTCATATATATCTTCTTTAAAAACGTTAAACAATTAACGTTTTTAAAGATACATATGTAAAACATACGTAAGTATCAAAAACACAGTAGAGAGCCTTTATTATACCAAGATTTAGATTTCTTACAATTTTCTTCTTCTTTACTATTTCTTAAAACAAAACTTATATAGTCAAAAACTCAACTGGTAACGAACTATGCTATGTGCTACAAACATATTTTATCACTCGTACATTACTAGATTTAGGTCTCGTATTTACCAATCTATTCTGTTGTTAACGAAATATGAAAGCAATGATCGTTCGATATTCACAGAACAAAAATGTACATACAATATAACGAATATCTACGAATGCGTGTTTTGTACGAGTCCTAAAATGATATAACTGATGAATAAGGAAACAAATTATAACTTATAATAATGGCTGCATTCGGTTTGGCGCTTACGCTTATAAGCACTATTCATCCTTAATGTTTAACATTTGATAAACAACAAGAATGAAGTGACACTGTGAACGCCAAAGCGAACGCAGCCAAAATACTATATGTTCGTACCTTTGACCTATATAGTCAGAGTTGAGTTGAAGCCGGGACGTCATATTTAATCTGGTAATCACATACATTGCTTCATGAAGTAGTGTTAATGAGCATTTATTAATATAGATTAAACTTTTGACGTTTTTGAATGTAATCTCATTACTAGATAAATATGATCGCTACTTCTTTTTCTGAGTTACTTGGCTTCACTTTATTTTTTAGAGCGATCTGGAATATTTTTTAGAAATCTGTGATATGTTCAGATGTGCACACGTATTACGCTCTTTTTTTTTAATTGTGGAAGACGCTGGTTCTCAGTAGGCCGTATCTTTGCAGTATAATATAAAAGACAATGTCTTCAGTATTTAAGGACGGCTCTCAAACTGCAACAGAAACACGTCATTTTACAAGTCTGATAATAATAATAATAAATCACATAATTTTGTGCATTTCTTAAGTTAAGTATCGATACGTTCATGTTATACAAACAGTGAAATTTTCTAAGGCTTACCAGTTTCCTGAGTGCAATATATCGAAGCCTTCGTTGATTTTTTCAAACGGAAGATTGTGCGTAATAAATTCGTCGAGGATCAATTCCTTTGACAGATACTGCTCCACCAATTTCGGCACACTTTGCTTTGATTTCCATCCGCCAAACGCGGTCCCTTTCCACACTCGTCCTGTGACCAATTGGAATGGTCTAGTACTGATTTCTTGGCCAGCTGCGGCTACTCCTATTATTACAGATGTGCCCCATCCCTTGTGACAGGACTCCAATGCAGCTCTCTGAAAAATAATCTTTATAGGACAAAATTCTTTCTTGTAAAAAAAAATACAATATTAAACACATACCATAGTGTTTACATTTCCAACGCATTCAAAGGTATAATCTAATCCACCATCAGTCATTTCGACTAGCACCTGCTGAATGGGTTTATCATAATCCTTGGGATTGACAAATTCTGTGCATCCAAAAGTTTTAGCTGTAAATAAGAAGAAAAATATTTATAAAATTTTAGCGCACTTATTATGTAGGGAGATCTACGAAGAGAAGAAAGATATACTTTTCACTGCTTATTTCTACAAAAAATAAATTTTGATTATTACACACAATCAGGTTACATAATTTACCTTTCTCAAATTTGGCCGGATTGGTATCTACCCCAATAATACGAGTTGCGCCAGATTTCTTGCAACCGAAGACTGCTGCGAGGCCAACAGCTCCCAAACCCCATACAGCACAGGTGCTTCCTGGTTCTACTTTGGCAGTATTCAAAGCTGCGCCATAGCCTGTAGATATTCCGCAACCCAACAAGCATACCTTGTCCATCGGTGCTTTAGGATCAATCTACGACAGTAATTAATAAATAATTATATATAAACGTTAATTGCAAAAATTATTAAATTATTAAGAATTCTAGTGATGATAAAAGTATATATAAATACCTTTGCGAGAGAAATGTCAGCTACCACTGTATATTCGGAGAATACGGAGCAACCCATAAAGTGCGCGATTGTCTGTCCCTTACATGTAAAACGGGACGTGCCATCGGGCATTACACCCTTACCCTGGGTCTCGCGGATCTTGCTGCATAAATTCGTTTTCGGTGATTTGCAGAATTTACAATCCCCGCACTGAGGAATGTAAAGTGGTACAACATGGTCACCTACAATCATTCGTGTAAACAATAGTAAGTAGATTAAAGAAATGTAATGTAATTCGATCAAAAAGTATAATCGCGAACATGATATAATTTGATAATTCAGACGAATCCTTAATAAATATAATAGTCTACCAGGTTGAAATTCGGTGACACCCTCTCCGACACTCTCCACGATACCACTGCCTTCGTGGCCAAGTATACACGGGAATACTCCTTCTGGATCCAGCCCATCCAGAGTATAAGCATCTGTATGACAAAGCGCCACAGCTACCACTTTGATCCGGACTTCATGTGCCTTGGGCGGTGCTACCTCAACTTCTTCCAAGGATAAAGGCTCCTTTTGTTTCCATGCTACTGCAGCCTTGCATTTGATAACCTGAAAACAGCAATAATAAATTTAATACATACTTAAATTACAATACGATATAAAATTGTCCCGATAATCACCCAGATCTAAATATTTTTTGTTTTTTGAGATATTAGTTTTTATTATCTAATTCTCTTACTGTTTATTTTAAAATCTTTTAGTTAATTACTTTTTATTAGCTAAGTGATAAAATTAAATTTTTTTCGTAATGTCCTGTAAATGGAATTAAACAGGGTTGTGCATCTACGCGTAAAATATAATACTCTACGTTTACGTGTAAACAACGTAAACTATTGTAAAAGTGTCATCTATGTAGACAGTCAGTAGACTATATATTTATTCATTTAATAAATATAT